CTGGAGTTTTGTATGATTGGTCATGTTAGTCCTAGAAGGCCTTTAACATGCCATGCAACTCCTTCATGGGTATTTCAAAGTTGTTCACCTCAAATCAGAATGATCTGATTATATGTACACATTATCTAGTTGATTATGATAACCACATTCAACTCCTAACTTATTGAAATTCCATTTCACTTCAATATATCAATGTATAACATACATTTGGTATCTATTTCTTACATATTAAAAGGCAGTGGACAGAGTAACCTCAAGAAGATCTTTGTCTAAGGCATGATCTTTCTTGTCATTTATGAGAAATATTCTTAAACTACAAATTTGGACAAGATTGATCAGTCCTTTCAGCTTATCCTTTCAGAGGTTTTTACAATAGTAAATTTTAGTATATAAAACTATAGACATCATTTAATGTTAATTTTCGTTCTAGTTTGTTTTATTAATCCTTAGATTATAATTACCCAATTCACCAAAATTATTTAAATAAGGCTAGGATCCATATTTCACTCCATGATGTGAACATGGATGTTGTAATCATATCACGAAGCTATTTAGGTAGGCAACACTATTCACAAATTTCAATCACTATAAAATTCCTAGATCTTTGAGATTCACTGATTAGGTCAATGACATACTAATCTCGATTATGCTCATCTTGGTCTATGCAAGGGATGTCGTGGATCATTTATTAGATTTCGAATCAACCATGCAAAAACTGTATGATCACCGGCTCAAGTTACGCTTGAGATTCGCGAGTGGCACATCATTCTCAATTATAGTCTCGAATTAATGTGTTAGCAAACCACACATGCTTCATGAACAGATTATAAAGAAAATGTGTATTTTTGATATTGCTTAAATTAGTCATGTGTTTTACGATAATTATCTTAATATTTAAAGCTAAATTAATAATATTAAGAGAAAAACATAGTTGAAATGCTTCATATTGAGATATTGTAAGATTTATACATTGTTGGAACAAAAGAAAGGAAAAAGGACTGGAAAATGGAGCTAAATCGAAAAAAATTATAGAAGAGTGTTGAACATCACAAATCACGCCATGAATATCGAGATATAACGTCGTGAATTTGTTGAGTCTAGATAAGGATAATGACTGATTTAAATTATCACACCGCTAAAGTAAAGAAGTCGTGACGCTAAAATACACCGACCTAAAATGCTATAAATAGACACGAAAATTCACCCTAAAGCAATAATTTTGGTTTTTACACAACCTTGGGCGAAAAGAAACCAAAAACATGTGGGTTTGAGAGTCTAGAAGGCGGTCGGAAAGTCGTTAAGCTGCAAGGAGCGAAGATCTGAAGAATTAGAAGTCGATTCGTCAAAGGAATCAATTGGTTTACTGTTCAAATCATGTTTAATATTCCAAATTGTTTGTCTTTATGTATTAGTTTTCTGATTTAGGGATTAAAAACTCTTTTACTTTGTGTTTAGATCAGATGAATTCATGAACTATTTGTTAATTGTTATGGGGATATTTTGAGTTATTAATAAATTATGTTTGTTTGATCAAATACCTTATTTGTTAAAGATCTTATTTTTATTATTTGTTACTGAGTTAGTAGAATTAGCCGATCAATCTAGTTTTATTAGCTTGAATCATAATTGTTTATGACCATTAATGATTATGACTAGTGTTTGACAAAACCTAGGGTTAGGTAGTAGACTCGGAACTTTAATTTGTAAGAGAGGCATTTGTTTTCCAACTCATGCTTATTATTTGATGATTATTGAAGTTAATTGTCCGATCAAATCTCTCATAATCTGAATATAACTATAATTGTTTAGATTAATTATTTTTATGATTATAAAAATTAGTTTATCCCACCAAGATAGGTAATTACAATAGGAATCGGTAAATAACGAATAAATAACCATTGAACTTTAGTAATTAACCATGATTTTGATGTAATTGAGTTTAAACCAAAGTACCCGGAGTGAATCGTTTTCAGTCAGTTAATCTGGTTGTTTAGTTATTGAATAAGTACTTATAATCAAAAACCCATTTTATCATTTTTGTTAATTCAATATAACCTATAATCAAACATTCTAATATTAATTCATATTCGTTCACCTTGAATTCGACACTATTGTTTATCAAAACTATATTATATTCGATCACGTTCATTGTCTGTAAGATGTTGGTTTAGATATGATAAACTAGATATAATGTAATACTATTGCATTAAAAATTCATATCAAGTTTTTGGCGCCGTTGTCGGGAACAGTTTTCAATTGATATTAGCTTATTTGATTATTTGTTATTTGTATTTAGTATTTTTAGTTATTTTATAATATATAGTTTTATTTATATTTTCGTTGATAACATGTCACTTGTCGAAAAGGTTGTGGTCATTTTATAGGAAATTAACTAGCTGTCCCATTTAAATCAAAAGAAAATAAGTAAACAAAAAAACCCGAAAGCCTAGTTTTCATATGGCTACATTTTGTATTTCACGACGCGAATATCTGGATTAAAACGATCCGGAAAGTGCTCAGTCCTAAGTTCACGACACTATTATTCAGACATCACGATACGAATTTTAAATATCCAAACAACCAGGATCATGGCACCAAGAGTTGAAACTCAGCAGCCTATACAATTACCTGATAACTGGCCCACACACCATTATTTCTAGTTTGCAGATGATTTGCAAGGGCAATAAAGCTATTTAAAAAAAGATCAATGTTCCACATATCTTACAAACAGAGATGGCAGAGAGATTAGGTTTGGCTGAGAGACTAGCACTATATCTTATGTGTATATATATTGAGACGAGGTCGGTGTACCACTTTTCATTTGCCATGGTTGGGAGAGGATAGTAGCAGCTCATGAGATCATATGAAGAGAGTTATGCATTAAATTCTATTCTACTATAGAGTTTCATACCACTTTACGAGATTGGATCGGTTCCACTAGTTTCCGATTTCGTCTTGGGGGTGAGGCGAGGTCGTGCAGTATTATTGATCTTGCAATCCGACTGGGTATATACACTTGAGAGGAGGTTGAAAACCCACACTTTCAGGCATTCTTATAGATTTGCATCATTACTCATCCAAATGATTATAGATCATTAGATATTTGGTAGCTATCACAGGGAGTTTATTCAGCTAGAGAGGTTAGGGACAGTATGTTCCGATCTCCTATTATCCCGTTAGTGCCCAGATTTATCGCAATTACAGTTTGTCATAGGAGTGTGCCGAAGAAGGTGCCTGGAGGAGATTTCTTTTATATGTGGTGCTTGATATCACAGGAGTTACACGTGAACCTTCCTTACATTATGGCAGCGTTTTTAGCGAAAGGAGTAGTCAAAGCTGGGAAAGATAGTTGGATTTACGGTGGCTACTTTATTTCTAGATTAGCACATTCTATTGGGGTTGAGACTAGTTGTATGCAGTAGTATCTCCCAAGGGCTTTGGATGAGATATATCTTGAGAGAATGAGTGTGATAGAGAGAGGGTTGGATGAGACATGGAGGATATATACGAGTTGATGACCTTATACAGCCAGTTCCCGCACCAGTTAATGAGCTAGTACCCGATGTAGAGGGGTACCATAGAGAAGACAGAGACGACAGAGGCCATGATTAGCACAGTATGAACCTGAGACCGAGATAGATCTGAGATATGTATCACAGTAGGTTGCCGAGTTGCGAGCCGAGTTAAATGATTTAAGGGGAAAGATATGCGAGAAGAGAAGTGAGCTACATGAGATGAGAGGTCAGATAGAATGGATGGGTAGTGCTATGAAAGAGTTTTTTAAAGTCCACTGGTTCGATTTCCCACCCTTCCCACAGTCTAGAGATGAAGCAAGTCCATCTAGGACGTAGCAGCGTGACGAATAGTGATTATGTTTATCCTTTTGTGTCTATCTTTTGGTTTAATAGACTTATTAATTTAATATTTTTATTTTGGTGTTCTTAAAAACTTATATATTATGGTTTGTATATTTTTGTGTGGTTTGTTTTTAGTTTTTTTTTCCACGATCATGCTTTCTAATGTTTTTAGATCTTTGCAGAAATTTTGTCTTTAGAAAACCGGGCAGTAAGTTCACCACATAGGAGCGTGTTTGATTTAGTCATATAGAGATATGTTACGAGAGATATAGCATCACGCACATGTGATATTTAAAAACCCACACATAAGAGGAACCGAGGTGTCAAAGCTATTACTGAGAAGATGGACGAGCATATATGAGAGATAAGAAGAATGCTTTGCCAACACGACTCGAATAGATTTTTATTTGCGAAAGAGTTTACTTTTCGAAACTCATGATGCGAGTATAGATAACTCACGTCGCGAACATATATTTACTCGCGATTAAAGTTCCCTATTTTTGAAAATCACGACGCAAGAAGTACTAATTCACGACGCAAAGATACTTATTCCCGGAAGTATAAAATTTACTGTTGTACGATGTTTTCGCCAATCAAAGGTTTCGCACGAATCCTTTAAAGAGCAAAAATGAGATAAAAATTCAGTTTTTAGTTTCCAGTAAATCCAAAAGCAATGATTTTGAAGCAATCCACTACAATCACATTCGAACTTGTCATTGCAAGGGGAATTTGTTCATTTTCCTTCCTGTTGTGATTTAATTGTTTTATGCATACAATGAGAGTATTTTATGAAATAATTGTAGGGTATGAGGTCGAATAAAGAAAAAAACATACTAGATAAATTTCGATCATCTTTTTTAAAAAAATAATAAGTTTCTAAGCGTTAGTTTTATTATTATTATTATTATTATTATTATTATTTGTTGAAATATGAAAAAAAAGGTCAATCATCAAATAAGAAAAAAAATATATATAACGTTTTTAAAAATAGGTACAAAACAAAAAGAATTGTTTAAAAAATGAAGTAAAAAGTCAATAAAGCAAAATTGCCAATAATAATAAAAGTTCAAGTGTTGAGTCTATAAATATTTTCAAATAATGAAAATCTTATAATTAGTTAAAACTAGGGAAGAATCCCGCGTTGCGGGTGTTGGAAGGTATTTTTTTAGCCTCTTATTAAAAAAGAGGAAATAGCAACAAACTATACAATGATTTACATATAGCGGCTCTAATTTTTCCTATGTTCCTATAGAAAAAAGTAATGTTAAATGTTGGTAATTGTAGAAGGTACAAAAATGAATGTCAATTGGTTTCACAAAAGGAAAGTAAAGAATGGAATGGAATTGAAACGAAACGAATGGAATGGAGTTACTCAACATCATTATCAGGCATCTTGTAATCCCTGGATCACAAAAAGCCATTGTTTTGTTGCTGCAAATGTAAGAAGTAAAACATGTATAAAGACCATTCCTAAAAATTTATAACACATGAATCTTGTAAAAGTTAATTAGAATGATAAAATTGGACGGAATTATAAAGTTAATACAAACAATAATCCAATGAAACTCCCCGGATATCATCATCCTGTTACGTTTGTTGTAAAGGCTTTACCCAATCTTCTTATGAAAAATCCATTGAATCTCTTTTTATATGTATCTGCGATTCAACAACATACAAATCCATTAGAAAAATAATATAGGAAAACCCATTGATCAAATTCCCGCTTATTGGAAAAGTAAGAAATAATCACTAAAAAACAAAACATAGAATTTACCTCAAAAGATTTTGATTTGTAGTCTGTGGAAAAAAAAAACTAAAAACCAAAATACAGGGGCAAATTTGTCCATTTGATTTCCCAAGCCAAAGGGCAAAGACTGGCACATAAACTACCAGCTTAGAATCAAATACTCAAAATTTAGCCATTCAGCTTAATAAAATCGAATAATCCACAAATTTACAACACTAAAAAAACGGTTTAATCAGTTTTTATTCTAAAAAGCAATAAGATTAAAACATAATTATAAATATAGATTTTGAAAACAGAGAGCTTACTACTGTCGGGACTGCCAAAATTTGACAGTTTATCTTTCTTAGTGACGTAGCCAATGCAGGATACATGTGTAACCCACTCTGCTCAAAACAAAATTAGAAAACAATAAAAACGAAAGTAGAAAAATTCATAAAAACAACTAAAGCATGTTCAACATAGCACAAGTACAGCAGGAACCTACAAACATGACTTAAAGTTCCAACAGAAGAAGCATGGCTTTTATTGACAAAACCCACATCAAAGTAATAACAATCATCAACCTATATAAATTTTATGCAACTGAACCTAATTTCTAAAAAATAGAATGCTATAAAAGATGTTTTTTTTACTGCTGCCCAGTGAATAGGTACCAAAGGCTCAAGGTTTCAACATTAGGTTGCAACTTACAATACATGTAAGTAATCATCTGAGACTAACGATATGTTGTTATTTAATGAACACACCTGGAAAAAAAATTAGAAAGAGAAATCATTTTCAATGGAGAAAAAAATAACAACAATAAAGAAGCTTGCATGACATAAATGTATTACCTGTTAAATGTCTAATACAGAAGTAGCAAATCATAACAGAAACACTAATCTTGTTTCAAAAAATAAAGCCTAATTGACAGAATCACAGTTTTAATAAAAACATTAAGATTCGTTTCTATTCTATTAGTGCTCCACACTCATATGAAAACCTTTTGATTCTCAACAATCCTTCAATTAGAGTGTTTCAAATTTAAGACATAAATTCAAGTCCAATCACTGGTCAACATAATAATGGACCACAGAAAATGCAGTTAACTATGAGTAAACATGAGCTGATAAAAGAAAACTTCAACTTACTTGAGGCTATAAGAAAGTAAGCTTTCGTCAAGCTCATTCAAGAATATCTATACATATGAGTATATGACTATTCCACCAGATCCATTAAACCCAAATAAATTTCTTCAAAAAGACCTAAAATGAAAGAGTGAGAAAAAAAACAATAGAAAAGCATATAATGAGAAAAATTCTATAAATGGTATTCGTCTTTACTTCCAAGAAATCAGATTTTTTCTTATTCTTCCTCAATCTGAAACAGAATAAAGATTCTTTAAAAAGGTTTTGGGTTTAATTCACGGAAACATAGATGAAACCTCAAAACTGAAACGTGAAAGAGGTCTTGGACTTGAATCAAAGTGATAGAGATAGATCGAACCGTAGATGCGTTGCTGCTAGGGTTTATGAGAATGAGCTGTTTGCTCAATCGGCGTCGCGATTCGTCGGTTTGATTTGAGAGAGGAAAAGAAATGAAGAAAATGAGAAAAATTGGGTGTTCTCTACAAAAGGAATCGGCAACCGACGTCAATTTGGATCCACCGTTCTTCCTCCAATCTCTCCTGACGGGAAAATAAAATGAGAAACAGTAAGACGTCGCCATTCCTTCCACTGTCGATGAGTTTAGGGCTTTCTTTGGTAGCGATGGTTTTCCTGTTAACCGATTGAGAAGAAGAAGCATTAGGCGGGGTGAGAGAAGCAAATAAAAGGTGGAGGAACGACTACCGCAGAGTGAACTTGATTCACTTCTTTGTCGATCACTTCGTCGTACCTTACAAATCCATCCGCCCGGTGACATACAGAATGCGAGGACTGATAGGTGAGGCGGTGATTATCCAGATGGGAGAAAGAAATGGCAAGCTCCAAAACGGGGCAAAAACCGGGGAGTATTATACCGGTGGGAACCATCCAGAATGAAAGAGAAAGAAAGAGATAAAAGGGAAGGCGGTGAGGAACTGAGAAAGAAACGTGGAAGAATAAGAAGCTGAGTAGGCAGTAGCATTAGACGTAGCTGTGACACATGTAATCCATTATAGAGATTAAAAATAGATAAATAAACAAAGAAAAAAAATAAACAGAAAAAAAAATCAGCCAATGGGAGCAATGTATTGTTCTTCACGTAGTTCTAAATTAATATATATATAAATAAGCAAATATAAAAAAGCCAAAGTTTGTCAAAACGTTTGTAGTCAAAGTCGTAATTTTTATTTCTTTTTTCTTTTCCTTTTTATTGAGTCTACGAGCTTGTTATAAGAACTAAATTAATTCTATATTTGCTTTAGGGCTCCAAGAAACTAAAAACCTACGGGTTTGAGGGTGTATAAGGCGGCTGGAAGACAGTTAAGTTGGAAGGAGCGAAGATCTAAATGATTAGAAGCTGATTCGTAAAGAGACTCATTCGATTTGTTGTTTAAATCATGTTTAATATTCCAAATTGTTTGTCTTTATTTATTAGTTTTCTGATTTAGGGATTAAAAACCCTTTTTCTTTGTCTTTAGATTATATGAATTCATAAACTATTGGTTAATTTTTATTTGGATATTTTGAGTTATTAAGAAATTATGTCTATTTGATCAAATACTTTATGTGTTAAAGATCTAATTTTTATTATCTATTACTAAGTTAGTAGAACTAGCATATCAATCTAGTTTTATTAGTTTGAATCATAATTTTTTATGACCATTAGTGATTATGACTAGTGTTTGACAAAACCTAGGGTTAGGTAGTAGATTCGGAACTTTAATGTGTTGGAGAAGCTTTTGTTATCCAACTCAAGCTTATTATTGACTTTGATAATTATTGAAATTAATTCTCATATCAAATCTCTCATAATCTGAATATAATTATAATTGTTTAGTTTAATTGTATTTATGATTATACAAATTAGTTTATCCCACCAAGATACCTAACTACAATAGGAATCGGTAAATAATAAATAAATAACCATTGGACTTTAATAATCAACCATGATTTTCATGTAATCGAGTTTAAACCAAAGTACCTGAAGTGAATCATTGCCAATTACTTTAAACTGTTGTTTAGTTATTGAATAATTACTTATAATCAAACCCCCCTTTTATCATTTTCGTTTATTTAATATAACCTATAATCAACCAATATAATATTAATTAATACACATATCCCTTGAGTTCGACACACTTGCTTATCAAAACTATACAATACTCGATCAGGTTCATTGCATGTAGGATGTTGCTTTAGATCCGATAGACTAAGAATTATAAATGTAAAACTAGTGCATTAAAAATTCACATTAGTTTCTCATGTGTAGCATATGACTCATGTTTTAATTATATAAAACGAGATTTTGTTTTAATCCTTTAAATTAATACTTTTAAATTGAACATCATCTTATCAAACCCTATCGATAACTCTATTCAAAACATAAAGAGGTGGTGCGTTCAGTAAGCAAGTAAGCAATGAGCTTTTAAAAATCGGTCTCATTAGGAAAATCGGTCTCATTAGGAATCAAAATAAACTTCTTTGAACATCTCTTATAACATTCGAGTGGGTGTGCCTAGTCGCGATAAGAGTCTGAATAATTTATTAAACATGCGAGAAAACATATTGTAAATGTCTTACATATATAGATATGCTTTGTTATGTGTGTGTGTGTGTGTATATATATATATATATATATATATATATATATAATCCAGATCAAATAAGAGGGAAATTTTAGGTAGGAGGTAACAATATATATATATATATATATATATATATATATATCATTTACCTATATGCAAGAGTTTCTTTTGAATGATAAGCCTATACATGTCATTTAGCAGCTTTCCATTAACCAATTAGAACCTGCTCTCCGCCTATAAGAGACTTCATGGTGGGTTTGCTCCTAGCTTTTCCACCAGCTGCTTCTAGCTTTACATGTTGCCTTGTCGTCTCTTGGTTTGTTTTCCCCAAAGCTGTTTGCCACCTCTTGATTGTGGTTGAGTCAATCATATTTGTTGCCTGCCTGCCTCAACCTTCATTTATCCTTACCTCATCATGACGCCTACGATACGGAAAACGATGTCGTTTAACAGTTGAGAGCCGGCAACCTGCTTGCTACCAGCACCTCATGTTGAGGCGGGAGACTTCCTTATCGGTTTTCCTTATTAGAGGAGGCATTTTCATCAAAACTGCTTACCACTTATTGCCTCTTCTTTTACCGTCATGTTTGGTTGAATGCGACCAACTAAACCTCTCCAACTTCCTCTTCACCCATGCTGCCAAGGAAAACCCACCGTGAAGTCTCCTGCCTCAGCATGAGGTCAGGATGAGTAAAACACAAGAAATATCGCGATTTAAAATATAAAGTGCTTATTATGTCTTTCTTACCGTTGAATTGTATTTAGAACATGAAACTTATTAAAACATGGAAAATAAGCTTATAAACTATAGTAAGTACAGTTTATGGAACAAAAGAATCTTTTTATAAACTTATCTGTTATTTATAAAAAGGGTTTTCTCATTATTACTTGTAAAGTCGTTAATCTAGTTTGTGAGACATGTCTTTGGGTACTTACATATGTACTAGTGGAAGACTACCCTTATGAGCCAGAGTCTCCTTGAGGGAGAACGTGAGTTTGTGTATAGATCTATACGGTACTGACAATCCCGCACCTTGCTGTTAGCTACAGTAGGACCGACAGGTCTACGGGTGACAAAGTCATAAAGTATATTGGCGTCCGATTCATGTCGTATCAGTTAGTATGGTCATAAAACTCACAAGTAGATATCAACGATATATTTACGTAGTAATATACTTTTCATAAACAATCTCAAGGGATATTAACTATGGGATTACTTAATAAATACAATAGGGTTAGATAAAACTGAAGTCCGGTAGACAGTGGAATGTATGACTTCCGCCTTACTTCATGTTCCTTAATTGGTTGTGGGCTTAGGGCAGATTCACCCATTCAACTGTCTGTTCGATTTTGGTTATATACAACTCGTATGTATTAAGTGATCATCGGAGGATAGTATCGCTGTATCAGATTTCCAGAACAAACCAGTCTTCAACCAGTTTAACTTATCAACAAAACTAGATAACATTATAGTAAGTATAGTATTTATACTTGTGCTTTTCGATCATGGAACAACATAGACTACCAGTCGGTTTTATAGAAAATATAGGATTTTCTATGGTAAACATCGTTCTTTTCAGGTAAACAGTTTTCGATAGAACTTTCTGAAAACAATGTTTCATAACAGAGTAAGTGAAACTAGAAACTTATTTATGAAAGGTTTAATACTTATTATTAAACTAGTATAACATAAAGGAACCATTGTGGTTACCATTTTACTAAAGAAAATATAAGATTTTCTTAAGAAATATTTTCATCATAACTCAAAGAACTATTACAGTTAACTCCGTAAGCACATAGTGAATACGTCAGGGTTATATACAATGAGCATCTTACAAACAATGGGATGCGTGACTTCCGCTTCATTTCCTGTTCCTTGTTTGGTTGTAGGTTTAAGGCGGATTCACACAGTCGATTGTCTGTTTGATCTGGATTGTATATAACTGGTATTCATTAAGTACTCATAGAAGGAATTGTAAGAGTTGTTTTTACTTATCATGCATCACATCAGAATATATAGGATTTTCTAGAGGAACAGGCGAACTTTTCTAAAGAACTAAGAGTATACTTTTTATAACAAAAATACTTATGAACTCACCAGCTTAAATGTTGATCAACACTTTCAAGGCAACTTGTATTCTCAGGAAACTAGTAGACAGGTACGCGCACTAGGATTCAGAAGATGGAGTACAGTAGCTTCACGTCCTTGTTTTGTTATTTACTTTTGTAGTCAATCTTTTGTGAATCGAATACAATGTAAAACTTTAATATTAATGTAATGGTTGTTGTTACTTTGATTACTATGATGCATGTGTTGTGATACTAAGCATGACGTCCTCCGCCCCCGAACGTTTTCGTCGTTCCGGTTTTGGGGGTTTCACAGATTGGTATCAGAGCATTGTTTATAGTGAACTAAGTATATCAACCTATAAAATATATACTGTTAAGATTTATGGAGTCTTGAACAAATTGACAAGTTCCTAAGAGTTCAAGGGCCATAAATGTAACATTACATTTAACAATTGAATTATTCAATTGTTGTCGGCAAACGTTTGAATTAAATATTCAAATGGTCGGTGGACAATTATTTAATATTTGTTGGACGGCTAATGTGAATGGCAAAAATTTTCAAAGTCAATCTTTGCGGCAATCCTGTGCATATTGCGGCTCACAAATATACCTATATATATGCATGTATGTTTTGCATATTTTGTGTGCAAAAACTTGAGAGAACATCAAGTGTAGAGTGTCAAGCCAATTGTAATCTTGTGAGTTTTAATAAAATTCTCTAGTTGCAGCCCGTGGATGTAGGATTTGCACCGAATCCGAACCACGTAAAATCCTTGTGTTCTTCTTGCTTTATTTTCGTGAGTTTGTGTGTGTGTGATAGTGTGTTTCCGCTGCGTGTACCCGGTCCGGTTCCTAACAACTGGTATCAGAGCCAGATTAGCGAGGTTTGGAGGGTACAATCATTTTTTTTCACGCACGAGTGTACCTGATTTGTATCTTGTTTGTCGTAATGGCTGAAGACAAGGTTGTAATCGAAAAGTTCAACGGTTCTGATTTTAACTGGTGGAAAATGCAATTAGAAGCATTGCTATGTCAGAAAGACTTGGACATGGTACTCGGAGACAAACCGGAGAAAATGGAAAAAGCTTTTGAAGATGCGTGGAACTCAAAGGACAAGAAAGCCAAGGCGGTTATTACATTGTTATTGACGAAGAGCGTTGCTTTCAACATCATGAATGAAACCACGGCGCGTGGTATGATGGAGGCTCTGTCAAATATGTATGAGAAACCATCGGCGGCTAACAAGGTGTTCTTGATGAAGGAGTTGTTCACTACAAGGATGAATGAGGAAGGCTCAGTTACGGTTCACATTAATAATCTAAATTCAATTCTGTCCAGATTATCATCTGTGGGAATTAAATTTGATAACGAGACTCAAGCATCACTGCTACTAGCTTCTCTACCTGATAGCTGGTCCGGAACAGTTACTGCTGTTACGAGTTCCGTGGGGACCAGTGGTATGACTTTTGAAGGGGTTAGAGATTTGGTTATTGGCGAAGATATCAGACGCAAGAATCAAGGTGGATCTTCTTCTTCTGATTTATTAAATGTCGGAAGAGGTAGAGGGAATAGCAGGAGCAGTGGGAGTCGGGGAAAAAGTTCATCTAGAACTAAGAAGAATGTGAAGTGCTGGAACTGCCAGGAGGTGGGACATGTTAAGAGTCAATGTCCAAAGAAAGAATTGAACATTGCCGGTGCTGAGAGTGTGTCTGAGGATGATGCATTGATACTCAGTATGGAAAGTTCTGTAGACTCTTGGGTCATGGATTCAGGGGCTTCGTTTCACGCCATGGACAACGGGGAAACGATGGTGAATCTAAAAAAAAGAGATTTTGGAAAGGTACGGTTAGCAAATGACGAGATGCTCCAGGTAACGGGCATAGGAGATATTGATCTAGTTACTTCATTGGGAACTACATGGAGCCTGAAGAATGTCAGGGTTATTCCGGAGCTGAAGAAAAAATTGATTTCTGTTGGTCAGCTGGATAAACAACTGGAAGTAAGGTTTGGTGGTGGTAAATTGGTGGTCAATGGTAATTCGGTGATTGCTCAAGGTATGAAGCGTAGGTCATTGTATATGGTTGAGGTACCTGCTGAGGGAAGTATGACCATCCCGATTAAGCAAAAAAAAATCTGGTTCTCTAAATCTACTGCTAAGAGAGTTCATTTTGCAAACATGAATTCTGGAGCCAAGGGGATGTTAGCTGAACGAGTCGGAAATTCTAAACCATTCAGGGGATTCTGTGACAGTGGGAGCACGTGGGGTGTTTCGGGTAAAGTTACAAAGAGCCGTTGGGTTTTGAAGACTAAGACTGAAAAATTCTCTCCTGTTGGAAGTTTGCAAAGATTGGAGAGTGTTAGTGGTCCTCGGTGTATCTCTGGATCTGGTGGAGTGTCCAAACCGGTTGAGACAGAGGATGAGTCGGTGGTGGGATTAGCCACGACTGAGTTGGAGCTAGTGGGAGCTTCAACTGGCCCTTCTAATACTTGAAGATGAGGGGCGGCTGCAATTAGAGAAATCAGACTAAGTTTTAGCTTGTTCTTTGGAACTGGAAGCTTGAAGGACTTGGTTGTTTTAAGATTACTGGAGTTGGATGACAGAGACGGACCATGTTGTTCAAGCCTCCAAGTGGGAGATTGTTAAGATTTATGGAGTCTTGAACAAATTGACAAGTTCCTAAGAGTTCAAGGGCCATAAATGTAACATTACATTTAACAATTGAATTATTCAATTGTTGTCGGCAAACGTTTGAATTAAATATTCAAATGGTCGGTGGACAATTATTTAATATTTGTTGGACGGCTAATGTGAATGGCAAAATTTTCAAAGTCAATCTTTGCGGCAATCCTGTGCATATTGCAGCTCACAAATATACCTATATATATGCATGTATGTTTTGCATATTTTGTGTGCAAAAACTTGAGAGAACATCAAGTGTAGAGTGTCAAGCCAATTGTAATCTTGTGAGTTTTAATAAAATTCTCTAGTTGCAGCCCGTGGATGTAGGATTTGCACCGAATCCGAACCACGTAAAATCCTTGTGTTCTTCTTGCTTTATTTTCGTGAGTTTGTGTGTGTGTGATAGTGTGTTTCCGCTGCGTGTACCCGGTCCGGTTCCTAACATATACAACTATAAATACAATGGGGTCGAAGTGCTCTGACTAAAAGTATACATTTAAAATATAATAATATTTTTATAAAAGTATATATATATATATATATATATATATATATATATATATATATAGTAGAACAAGTATCACAAGAAGAACAAAACAAAAGTATTTAAAGGTTGGACA